CAAATTTTTTTTTTTTTTTTTTTTTACCTATTAAATAGTTTATTTTAAAAAAAAAACATTACAAATATACTAAATACAAAATTAAAATTTTAGAATTTTATTAGAGATAAATTTAAAATTCATGAAGGTTATTAAATAATAATTGGGTGATATTTTCATGATAGCATTTTGAATAAATTTTATTTCAAAACAAAAGGCAAAGAAAAGGATAATTCCTTTTGAAAAAAAAAAATTGCATGATGAGTGGGGATGAAAATTAGAGGGATGGAGCCCCAAGGAAAAGCATAATTCCTTTTTATACCATCTTTTTTGGAAATTAATTAGGTCGAGATTATTGGACGTGAGTCCCACGTTGGTTAATTTAGTGGAAAATCATGAGTTTATAAATGAGAAATACTATCTCCATTTAATATTAATATGAGGCATTTTGGAAAACCCAAAGTAAAGCCACGAGTTTATACTTAAAGTGGACAATATCATATCACTACGAAGAGTCGCTTAATTATTCATTTTAAAAAATCAAATCAAAATTAATTAAATTTACTATCAAATGTTTTGAAATAATGTCGAATTTATAATAATAATAATAATAATAAAGTAAAAGGAATTGAAATTAAATATTAAAATTGCAATATTTATGTGAGAGTTGGTGGAGAATTAAATGCAGGCAAAGGAGCGGAGCAGAGTTTTGGTATATAATTGATTGCACCAAAATGGGGCGCACCATGGGTCCCACCTGCACATGGCCTCCCCTATGCGATGTCGTTTCGTTTCTCCAATCACGATTTTTCTTTTTTCTTTTTGTAATTATATAATGAGTGGAAATCAATATCCTTTTCTCACGTGATCTCACGTGCACTCCGCGCTTGTCTAATTATATAATGAGTGGAAATCAATATCCTTTTCTCACGTGATCTCACGTGCACTCCGCGCTTGTCACGTTATATAATGAGTGGAAATCAATATCCTTTTCTCACGTGATCTCACGTGCACTCCGCGCTTGTCACGGCCTCCCCTATGCGATGTCGTTTCGTTTCTCCAATCACGATTTTTCTTTTTTCTTTTTGTAATTATATAATGAGTGGAAATCAATATCCTTTTCTCACGTGATCTCACGTGCACTCCGCGCTTGTCTAATTATATAATGAGTGGAAATCAATATCCTTTTCTCACGTGATCTCACGTGCACTCCGCGCTTGTCACGTTATATAATGAGTGGAAATCAATATCCTTTTCTCACGTGATCTCACGTGCACTCCGCGCTTGTCACGGCCTCCCCTATGCGATGTCGTTTCGTTTCTCCAATCACGATTTTTCTTTTTTCTTTTTGTAATTATATAATGAGTGGAAATCAATATCCTTTTCTCACGTGATCTCACGTGCACTCCGCGCTTGTCTAATTATATAATGAGTGGAAATCAATATCCTTTTCTCACGTGATCTCACGTGCACTCCGCGCTTGTCACGTTATATAATGAGTGGAAATCAATATCCTTTTCTCACGTGATCTCACGTGCACTCCGCGCTTGTCACGACACAGAATGTCCACATTTCTCTATTTTTCAATTTTGATTGAATTAAAATATATAATAAATTATGATATTACAAAATAATAATAAATTGATATCATTTACTCACATTAAAAAAAATAGTTAGAACGTGAAATGTAACTTTATGTAATCCATTATTATTATTATTTTTAAATATGATTAACGAAACTTAACCCATGATTAGCCACGTATATAATTTGGAGGGGCAACTGGAAATGTCCACATCATCATCATTTCTTTTCTATTTGGTGGGGAGAAAAGGAGGTGGGGCCCATTTCTTGCATTTTTTTTCTTTATTTTACACCATTTTTCTTAATGAAAACTTTCCATTCACGTTAGCTTATCTTTTTTTTTAAAAAAAAAATTGAATATTTGAAACTTTCTATATATTTTATTTTGTTTAAAATTTTCAACCATTATCTATGTATTGTTGGGGGCCGAAAGCGGAAGAAATGTACTCACAACACCAATGAACTAAATTACACAAATAGACACCAAGATAGTTGGAGAGAAGAAGTTCCCCTATGTCCACTGGTAGCAACCAATCACTAATCAAACAAAACGTTACAAGTGAATACCTCACTATCACACTACAAAGACTCTCAACAATATGTCACTAAAGAAATATTGGGACACATAAAACTCCCTCAAATCCGGATACCACTAGTTAGGAATTGAGGGAGAAATCTCACGTACAATAATATAGCATTACATAATCAAATCTCCACTAAATCTAGTAGGACTAAATCTAGTTCAAATAATCCTATCAAATAAAAATTTATGATAATTTACAAAATTTAGAATTAAATATTAATAATATTTTGTAAAGGATTGAATCAGTACAAAAAGTAGAGTAAATGGTTACTCTTAACTTATAATCGACAATGGAAAGAATGTTAAACCATAGGTTTATTATTGGGATACATTAACCAGTTTCAGGAACTAGATACAGCTTTTGACCTTCATCAACCATATGGATATCAAGAATTTTACCTCCATCTTCTGATAATAGACAACATTCACCTGAAACTAGAAGCTGATCTGATGATACTTTGATGAGCTCTTCAATTGTGTATGGAACCCATAGGACGATTCCAGGCTTTCTATTTTCTTCAGGATCCCATGGGTGGAAGGGGAACACTGTACATTTCTTCGAGTATTTTCTGTCTGTTCAAAAAAAATAAAAATAAAAACAAAAGATAATTCAAATTGGACCATATGTTTTAAGAATTCCTTTGGTAAAAAAGATATACCTGAGAATTTTTTAGAGGAATAAGAGGATTCTAATAACTGAGAATCTTTTGCCCCTTCGAAGAGCTTAACCAAATTCTTGTTTCCACAAATACGGGCTTCATCAAGCGGGGTGTTTCCCCATCTGCAGCAAAACAAATATTATAGAGTAACAACACAATGGAAGTGCTTTTCTATCACGGATCTCCACAATGGTATGAGATTCTCCACTTTGAGCATAAGCTCTCGTGGTTTTGCTTTTGATTTCTCCAAAAAGCCTCATACCAATAGGGATAGTTATAAACCCATGATTTATCTCTTAATTAGCCAACGTCGGACCATAGGAAACAAAAAAGAATAAAAAAGAATGTAATATGTTGTATTTGGGTACCTGTCCCTTGAGAAAACACTACCCCCATATTCTAAAAGCAACTTTGCCATCAAAGTTAGCCCAGAAGAGGCAGCTATATGTAGCGGAGTTCTGAAATCGTAATCTTTGGTGTTGGGGTCAATGCCATAGAGCAATAATCTCTTAATAAGATCTGCATCACCCCTTGAAACTGCTGCACAGAGGAAGCTACCAGCATTCTCAACCTTCAATGAAGCACCTTCTTTAGAAAGCAACTCAGCGACATGATCGTTCCCATTCTTGATGGCTTCCATCAATGGCGTATTGCCAAAATTATCTGGAAAAAGGACGCATCAAATATCACTGAGTTATAGAGAAGATGAAACCTCAAAAAACTTGTGTTCTACTGTTTATAACAAACCTGTAAGATCAATGTCTACTCCTTCCTGAATTAGGAAAACTACTATATCATCGAATCCTCTGGATGCTGCAAGATGCTGTGGAAAAACAACTAAGTTCTTCGATATCATCTCCAAGAGAAAAAAAAAAAAAAAAGTATACATATACTATAAAGTAAACTATGTCTATCCATACCAAAGGCGACCTTCCATCATAATCTGTCTTGTTTGGATCAGCTCCAGCTCGAACCAGACCTTTCAATTGGTACAGATCTCCATGATATGCGGCACTGTTCACCTTCAGAGCAAGTTCAGCTTCTTGCTTACCAATATGAAATGTGATATCTGATTCCATTTGCTTAATTCGGAGGCTCGTTTCTCTTCCCTACAGATTTGGAATCCTTAAAAGGAAGCAATGCAACTCTTAGAAGAATAATTTAGCATATAATCAAAATTACCTCAAGAAGATTGTTCAAGATTTTCCTGCCGTCGTAGAAGTATATGTCAAGGATATTTGTGAAGGACTGCTTGTCAAGGCGTAGTAGTCTACATAATTCACACACTCGAACTGTATAGGGTTGAGGAATATTGCAAAGAATTGAAATCTCTCCAAAAGAGCTGTTGGGTTCTAGTAAATCTATGGTTTCTTCTGAACCATCTTGTGCTATGCCCACTTCCTCCTGCAGAAATATGGTCAACTTATTGAGAATTTCAGCATGTTCTTGCCAACATTAACGTCAGCTCCTTCCAAAGACAAGTACAGAAAGTATGGTGAGTGGAACCATACCAGCACACCATGAGAGACAAAATAAAGTTGATCGACCACATTTCCTGGTTCCATTATCACCTCTCCAGGCAGAAAGAACTCTTCATGCAGTCTAATAACCTACCATGACAAACCAAAGAAATAACATGAAAATCCAGAATGAAGAAGAAATCATCTGCTACAAACTAGAAAATAAAATGCTTACTATTTGGTTGATAAACTCTGGAGAGCATCCTTTAAAGATAGCGACGTTCTGAATGCAAGGCAAGTATAATGTTTGGGAAATCTGCATAAAGTGAAATAATGTCATGCTAGCCATCCAAGCACATTTATGCAAATCATTAGTTTATGCAAAGACATGGCGAAGAAAGTGAAAAGAAGCCAAGTGTTTTCTATTAGGAACAATGATATGATATATTGTCCACTTTAAGCATAAGCTCTTATGGCTTTGCTTTTGGGACCCAAAACACCTCGTACCAATTGAGATGTATTCCTTATTTATAAATTCATGATCATTCCCTTAATTAGCCGATGTGCTCCCACCAATAATACTCAACAATTTTTCCCTCCCCTGAGGTCTATGGAGCCCTCGAACAGCCTCCCCTTAATTGAGGCTTGACTCCTTTCTCTGGAGCCCTCGAACAAAGAGTGACTTTGCTTTTGGTTTCCCTAAAAGGCCTCATACCAATAGAGGTGTATTCCTTACTTATAAACCTATGATCATTCTTTAATTAGTCGATATGGGACTCCCCACCAATAATCTTCAACATTTTCTAACGTCATTGCTTTGTATACGAATTAGTTCCCTTGTCACACTATTTATTACGTAAACTAAATTATGTAAAATTGAAAATCAGTCTTTACCTTAGCACGGATCGATATTGGGATGTCCTGTAGAACAGAAGCTTCAGTATAGCTACTTTCATACTGTAAACGTAAGTGACCTTTGATCTGATCACGGATGTCCCTGCTAAGTCTATTTCTGTTCATGTATTTCATTATATCTGTCATTTTATCCCTGAATTTCACCGTCTTGGACCCTTTTACAATCAACGCAGTCATGTTACCAATCAAGTAAGCACCGAGAACCATGTCAAATGATACATAAATCATAACGAATATCATTTCCCTCAGGTTGACTGCATGTATATCACCATAACCTGTTCATAAACAAACAAGAATTAAGGAACACAGCAGATGCCTGTAAATAACCAAACTAGTGGAGGTTATTCTAATATCTATGTACTTCCATTTCGTTGGCTCAAAAAATATCATTGAAGACGTTAAGAAGGTACTCACCAACAGTGGCCATGGTGACAATAGCAAAGTATAAAGATGTGGTGTATCGTTTCCATAGATCAATATCCCTGAAATGTGAGTAACTGTAGTCCCCCAATTTTAAGCTTCCGATCCATGTGTACCCTTCTTCGGTAGGAGGAAGAGTGGTTGCCAAATAGTAAAAGATGCAGGCCGCAGTATGTGTGCAGTAAAGTTCAACAACAATGAGCTTCACAATTCTAGTAAACATATAATTAATACGTATATCCTTCTCCATCCTCTGAAAAAAATCGGTGACTTTCCGCACCCGAAATAGCCTTATCCATAGAAGGCATCTCACCTCCTCTCTCTTCCCACAAGCCTGATCGAACACACATAAAAATTTGTTTAAAACAGAATTCCTTGAAAGATCAGAAAGTGTGCAATAAACCCTCTTAGGTATAATTTGCATTCCATCAGACACTCATCAGAAAAATCAAAGAAAGCTTTGTGGAGGGTCACCTTATAAATGAGGTCCCAGGGCATACAGCTGAGAAAATCAGTCACAAAAGTGGACTTCAAGTACCTGTAGAACAAAAAAAGAACTTATCAGGTGAAATCATGGACTGTATCACTGACCAGAAGAAATCTCCACTGCAAAAACAAAGCTATACTAAAGTTCTTTATATTTGGAGAAATCAGACAGTGAACATTAATCAATCCAGGCTAGGTTAGGAATTACGACTCTCTATAATATTATGATATTGTCCACTTTGAGCATAAGCTCTCATAATTTTGCTTTTAGTTTCCCCAAAATGCCTCGTACCAATGGAGATGTATTCCTTATTTATAAACTCACGATCATCACCTTAATTAAGCTAATGTGGGACTCCCTCCCAACAATCCTCCCCTCGAATAAAGTACACCATAGAGTCTCCCTTGAGACCTATGCCCTCGAACAACCTCTCCTTAATCGAGGCTCGACTCCTTTCTCTGGAGCCCTCGAACAAAGTAAACTCTTTGTTCAACACTTGAGTCATTTTTTTACTAGACCTTTGAGGCTAACAACTTCTTAGTTCGACATTTGAGAATTCTATTAGTATGGCTAAGTTAAGGGCATCACTTTGATACCATGTTAGGAATCAATCACAACTCTCCACGGTGGTATGATATTGTCCACTTTAAGCATATACTCTCGTGAATTTGCTTTGGACTTCCCAAAAGGCCTTGTACTAATTAGCTGGTGCGAGTTGGTATAGACCCAAAAACAGAGCGAAAATACAAATGAAAAGGCATAACTGGGAAGGAAAGGAAACTGACTTGAGTGCTATTGGAGTGTGCTTATAGACCATTAGGTATGTCTGACTATCTCTGTACGCAAGGAAGAACTGGAAAACAATGTCAACGAGGAAAGCAATCTGTCCAACAATGTCAAGTATAAATAGATTATCTGGTAATCCCCTGAAGAACGCGAATTCCATGGGTGTGAAGAAGGAAGAATACACTGCCCATATCAGTATGAACTTCGTCCACGCCCTATACCACCTGCATTTCATTTCATATTATTTACCAACTTCAATCAGTATCATATTTAAATTTAATAATCTGATTATTTAGCATTTACACCATAAGATGCAATTTATGGAAGTCAAAATATAACATTATCAATAATATTCCAACCATTTAATATCATTACCTCAACTTATCATTCAAATCTAAAAATTAAGGTTTTTTATTTTATTTTATTTATAAGATTAAACTTATTATTTAAAACGTGGGTAGAGACCCACGTTTTAAATATATTTAAAATTTAAAAAAAAAAATCAATCTAAAATTTAAAAATAGTTTTATTTTATTTTTATTTTTAAATTTTTGTTTATAATTGAAATGTAAATAAAAAAAAACTACAATTTTTTAGAACAAAATGGTTGATAACACGGTCTAGGAACAATAAGATAGTAATTTTAATTGTGTAGTCTTGAATCCAAAACTAGACCTATATAATATATACAATTTATGGTGTAAAATTAATCTAAAATTTTAAAATTTTATATTATCTTTAATTATAAATGGTTTGATTTTTTTTCTTTTGTATATGCACCTCACTTCTCTTTACTAATTTAATACATAATTACCTATAATAAGCTATAAAAGGAAAAAGACAAAAAAAATATATATATGTAATTAAAATTTGGTGGACAAAAGTGACAATTAAACATTAATTTTATATGACCATAGTAGTTCCTCCCGTGTATCATATAAAAAATCGGATATTTCAAAAACTCATCAATTCAATGAAAATTGGGTTATTTATTTATTTAAAATTTAGATTCATAATTTCATATCGAATTGAATTAACCTAAATTTATTAAATTTATTTTAATTTTATAATAATAATTTTTCTATGGTTCATTTTTCAACCAATAGTAGTTTTTGAAAATATGTATTAAAGTAAATTAAAAATAAATAAATAGATGAAAAAAAAATTAGAAATGAAGTAGATGATTGAATCTAAAATGTTTTCCCACCGACTCAAACGAACGCATCAAAACCTCGACTATATCGCAAGAAATTACGATTTTAAACGTGAAATCCTATCTTCTTTCACGAACAATTTAGATCTCTCGGTTATCTTTTTCCCAAATTCTTCAACTACTTCCTGTGCGACGTGTGTCAAGATGATGGAAATTCTTGGAGGATTGTTCAAATTAGTTTTGGAATTGAGGTTTCCGTTTCCAGAAAAGCGTGCGTACCTGCTGTCAGGATGGATAATGAGGCCTTTAATGCCATTGATGATATTTTCGCGGCTAAATCTTCTGCGACCCGATTGCATACTCAACTCTTTCTGAACCAGGTCCAGTCGGCTCGCTCGCGACGACGCGATCCGTTCGCGAACGGTTTCCACATTATATTCCTCCTCATTCGAATCCATCCACCGCCTTCCGCCTTCCGCCTTCCGCCTTCCGCCTTCCGCCTTCCGCCTTCCGTCCTCCTCTCTTCACCAGAACCGCACCTTCTTCTACTTCCTGCATACGATTTCCTCGAACAGATGAGACATTCGAGAGACCTACTTCAAAGCAAAAGCTAAAGCTAAAGGCGAACTGAATCGCCGAACTTAATGCTCAACTAGAAAGTTCGCGAACGATGAGACGATCATGGATTTTGAAAACGAATTAACTGCAGAGGATGTTGAAAGAAGGTTACCGTGCAGAATCTGCCGCTTGAAACTTTTGATTGTGCGTACAGATGGAATCGCGAGGAAAATGAGAGAAACGGTTTGAACGATGACACAGCGCAGTTCGGATTTTCACGGAGATCTTCACGAATATGGCAACAGTGGGAAAGAGAACAAGAAAGAGATTTTTTCTTTTTCTTTTTTTCTTTAAAATAAATATTCTTGGATGAAGAAGAACGAGAGAATGGATTTATAGATAAGGATTGCTAATCTTTTAATTTGTTGAAAACTAAAATGAGCTGAAATCAAAATCAATGGCATGTAATATGTTTACTTTAAACTGTCACAAATCAAAATTAAAATTAGCTTAATCTAATTATCAATTTGTTGCACGTCAAACTAAATAAAGGCTAGACTCAGCCATAACTATAAGCCATAACTATAAGCCATAACTATAAGGATTGTGAGTACGTTTATGAATTTTTTTTTTTTTTTTTGTTACTTTTGGGTGCGTGAGCTCACAAGCCCAATCAACCCTGAGAAGTATGGTAGTAGTGTTTGTCTTGTGAGTTCACATACATACGCATAGGATGTGTGTAGAGAATTACTATACGTTCAATTGACTATGTATGTATATAGACATTAATATATTGATTAATCTAGATCATAATGGACACAGATATGCATTTTACATTTTTTTTGTATGATTTTTATAATTTTTTTTTTAATTATGTTAGATTAGCCATCAATTATGAATATAATTACATATATATGTGATGAATCGTGCAAATACTATACAACTGTCTAATATGAGATTGCTGGCATGTTATGGAAGGCTTAAAGAGTTTTAAAAATTCAATTACTTTAAAATATCTGTTAATCGTCAGATTTATTTAATTAATCTGCATTAGTCAAGATTAGCATAGTTAAGTGAACACTTGGACGATGGAGATTGCCATCATTGGCATTTTTAAAATAAATTGAAAATTAAATTAGAAAACCAAAATTTTAATACTTAAATATTGGGGATATTATAAATGCCTGTGCTTTTTATAAAAAAAAAAAAAAAAAAAAAATTACAAATCTCACTCTATATTTTCAAATTTAATTACAAAATCAACAAAGCTATCAAATATCTCGTATCCACTTCTTAACTTCCCTCTAATAAAATAATGTATATTAAATTACTGTATAAGTTCTTTTTTTAGGAAAAAGATAATTTAAATTATTATAATTAATATAATTTTCTCAAGTATTTATTTAATTATGAGTGATGTAATTAGGATATATTACCTAGTTTATTTAAAAGCAATTCAATTTCGGTAGGGGTGGAGCGTACACGTGTACGAATGGATCTGAAACTGTTTAACGATAACAACTTTATAATTTATTTATTTTGTTTTAAAGACTCGAATAATAATTTTCCCCCTAATAAATTACAGACTTAGTTGGCAAATTCGTATTGGCTCAAATTATTTTAGACATTTAATAACCTATTTATTTATTTACGTATGTTTAGTGTCATAGAATTTATATATTCAAAATAAAGAAGTACAAAAAATGACATAAAAACTATAAATAATTTATTTTAAGATGGGTTTAGGGTCTAATTTTTTATTATCAATTTTCTTTTATTGTGAATTAATGTGTAGGAAATTCAATGTTAAGAAAGGTATTAAAATTTTTATTTAATTAATCATATTCAGATTAAGTATATATTATCAGTTAATTAGCATAGTGAAAAGCTTTTATTGAATAATGATCCAGAGAAAGAGAACTTGAATTAGAGGACCCTTGACCATGAGATAATAATAATAAAATTGTCAGCACCAAAATTAAAATTGCATATGATAATTAAAAAGGATTGATATATTATAAGGTGAATAGACATGTGGGGGAGGGATTGTGGGTCACAGGGAAATGTTTAGTTAGTAAATGCATTTCAGATTGCTATACATACTACATTCACAAGGGGCCCATGCATTCAATTATTATCGAGTCCATAGAGTAGATAATGTGATGCAGCCCAATGGCCAAAATAACTTCAATTGGTTAGAAACTATCTTCAACAATCCTCCCAACAAAACACACCATAGAACCTCCATGAGACCTATAGAGCCCTCAAACAAAGTACACTCTTTATTCTGACACTTGAGTCCCTTTTGACTACACCTTCGAGACTCTCAATTTTCTATAACCTCCATGAGGTCTATAGAACCCTCGAAGAACCTCTCCTTAATCAAGACTCGGCTCCTTCTCGAGAGCCCTCGAACAAAGTACACTCTTTATTCGACACTTGAGTCCCTTTTGACTACACCTTCGAAACTCTCAATTTTCTTATCCAGACACTTGAGAATTCTATTAACATGGCTAAATTTAAGGGATTTTCCAATACTCATTGTAAACCCATAATCTTTCTCTCGGGACTCTTCTCCTAATCTTTCTCTTGGGACTCTTCTCCTAATCTTTCTCTTGGGACTCTTCTCCTAGCAATCCCCCAACACAATCCCCCAACACCGCTACCACCCTATCAACGCCACACTTCCTCTCTCAAACTGCTATGAAACTCAGAAATTTAGGCAGGGGCAGGAACAGGAACGGGTAGCGATTTTGATGAGGATTTACAGTGGGTAGAGTTTTTGGAACCCGGATGCAGGAACGATAAAATAAGGGAACATAAAGGTCTTATGTAGGTTTGCTATTACTTTTAATAATAATGTTTAGATTTCAAGTGGTGAAAATATAATTCTTAGTGTTATTAATTTGACTGGCGGTTTAATCAGAACAATGTCAATGGGAGAGATGTTTTAACTCATCAATTGGTATAATAATTCTATGGCTCTAAATCTAATCCCACATAATATAACAAGATGATTAAGAAAAAAACACTTGATCACAAACCAGTCAATTTCATTATTCAATTTCATCAAACCCAAAATCAGAAGTAGCAGATCCAAGTCCAAGAGGGCGAGGAAGATGATGAAGGACACTACAACATCACGCAAAGCAAAGCTAGAAGACCAGACCTTAAGCACGAAGAAGCGTCACAGCAAACGAGATTGTGCAAATCATCAGACCAAGCAACGCCAAGAAAAAATATTTCCTGTTCAATTGTCATCCCAAATACAAAAAATCCATCCATCAATTTTCCAAATTGAATCAGATTATTAAAATAGAATCTCAACAGAGAATTTCCCAGAAAACGAACCCGATGGTGAGACGCTTTTCAGGCACGCCAGTGGCGTAACCTCTGAAGTAGAAGAACCGAGCCACGACGTAGAGAACCCCCAACGAAGCGCTAATGCAAGGATGCCTAATTCCTCCCAAAATCATAAGCATGAAGAACAGAGGCATCATTTCCAGCGAATTCTGGTGCCCTCTCTGTTCCAAACACACTCCACAGTTCAGGCTCAACCGTAACAAAAACAAAAACATAAAAAATCGAATCAGAGTTCAAAGAATCAGAAACCTGGATACAGTTGAAGATCTTAGCATCCTTGTTCTCAGATTCCAGAGCGTAGAGATTGGGGTAAAAGACCTTATACCTAAAATACAAAATCGAAACAGAAAGATATAACAACATTCACGAAAAAAAAAAAAACAAAATCCAAAAAAGAAAGAGAAGAGAAGATACTTCTTGCGAGCGCGGCCGACCTGACCGGCCATCCAGAAATTGAAAAAGGAGTAGAGGACAAGAACAAGAACGACATAGCCATATTCTCTGGGGAGAAGGTCGATAGCGGCCATTTTTGGAGATGGAGGTGAGAATTGAAGGAGATGGAAGGAGGTTCTTATGGGGACGGGAGTGTAGTCGGCAACTTCTTCTCCAAGCCATTGAGTTTACTATTGATTGGTTGAGTCAACTGTCAAACGTGACCGGATCGTCTCTGAGTGGAATTTGGGGATTAGGGTTTCAGAATCTAGAATTCTCCGTCCGGGATCAGTAGCTTCTTTATTTATTTATTTATTTATTTATTTATTTATTTTTGTGGATGGGGGTAATAAAGACATTTATACCATTGTTCTTAAATTTTAAAAATTTACACGTGTAATTTTTATTTCATCTTTAATTCTCAAAATAGTTCTTACATTTAATTTTACATTTTACATTTTTATCCGATACTGACTTTTATTCACTTGTCTTAATTTTCTATTAATTTATTTAAATTAATTAACTAAAAGTTGATACCATAAAATCTAAAAATTTAGGGACAAAAATGAAATTAGCTCAAATTTAGGGACCAAATAGAAACTAAACTCAAATTTTAAAAAATTTAAATGTTTAAGTAGGATTAATAATAGATAAAATATATACAATTTTTTTTTAATTTAACATATGGGTGTGGATTGAAACCTAAAGCACATGAGATATATTTGCATTTATAAAAATAAAATGAAATAAAATAAAATTATAATTATTAAAAACTTCTTATTTTGTTTCTTAATTACAAGTTTGAGCTCTAATTGTTTAAATATTATTTTTTTTTAGTATAATTTTAATTTTGTTTTAGTTCGTGTGACTTTTTTTAAATAATAATTTTGGTCCATACTAATTATTATATTATTTTTGAAAGTTGATGGATTAAATATATAATTTAAAATAAAGTAAATTTAAAAAAACAATGGAATTTGAAACAATAATGGCAAAAGCAAATAACAAAAGTGTAATTATTCCTTAAATTTCAGAAAGTAGAGAAAATAATGATGAAAAATAATAATTCCTCCTATATTCTTTTTATGATTTTGAGAGTAGAATAAATTAGGTAACTAGGAGTAGCTTTTAATGATCATGACCGGCGGTGCTCCGGCGCGGTTGTTTTCCGGGCGGATGGACGAGAGTGCCAACGACCACATCCTCCAGTTTGCCACACATCACCGACGGTCTCCGCCGCCACAAACCTGTTCTAAACTTCTTGGGCTTCGTGGTCTTCCTTTCAATTTGTCGACCCAGATCCAAAAGTTCAGATTCAAAGCTCCTGAGGCTAAAATTATTCCGATCAGTGGGGTCCAGGAGATCGGATAACCGCCGTGAAATGCTGGCGACTTCGTAGCTGTCGAGTAGAGAGGGTGTTTGGGAGCGTCTGACGGCCTCGAGCCTGTAGCGAGAGGGCTTGGGGTGTGTAGTGGGCCTTGTCAGGCCGAATTCGCGCATGGGCTTGGAATCGGAGCCGGACCCATGCTGGTACCAGGCCCATGCCGCTGCCTTCACCGCCGCTAAGTCATCGGTGGTCGGTTCCGTCGGGGGGATTGGGCAGAGGGAGATGGATGCCGGCAATGGCATCGGGAAACGAAGGAAGCGTGGGCTTTAATTTTGGGGAAGATTTGTTGGAATTTATGGGGATATGATGTTCCACGCCATTGGCTCTCCAACTATTTCTTTTTACTTTTTTACCCTTTTTCTTAAATAAATAAATAAATAAATAAATCTAAAAGAACTGAATTTAAACCTTTAAACAATTATATAAATTTAAATCTAATTTAATATTAGTTTAAATTAATAAATAAATTTTAGTACATATGAGAATTTAAAACTTTAACTTATATATATAAAAAAAAATACACCAATTATCAAGAAATGGGCAGAAAGTACATGCTATTTCAAGCCATAAGAAGTGGAACGAAGAAGAATTGACAATTAACTGACGAAAGTTTCATACCATTAAAGACAATCACATGTTCGTTTACAATCGAAATCTCTTCGATCACAAAGACAGATTTCTCTCTCTTGATTATTGAGTTCAAAGGTCACGTTCTATTTCTCGTTTTTACTTTAAGAGTGAAAATTATCATTACAGACCCACACGGATCTTTTTAGATCATTTTGTCGTCACTCACGTGTATCTCTTACAAATTTTTAGGAGATCACTGAACATAAAATTATTTCAAGTAAAACTGTGATGTCTCATGTTGGTTTAAGTAAAACTGTGATGTCTGTCCCACCTTAGTTGGAGAGGAGAACAAACCACCATTTATAAGGGTGTGGAAACCTTCCCTCCTATTAGACGCGTTTTAAACCCTTGAGGGAAAGCTCGAAAAGAAAAGTTCAAAAAGGACAATATCTGCTAGCGGTGGATCTGGACCGTTACAAATGGTATCAGAGCCAGGTTCTAGACGATGTGCCAGCTTTCTCATTGTTTCCCGAAGGGGGAGTAGACATGAGGTGGTGTGCCAGTAAGGATGTTGAGCCCCAAAGAGGGCGGTCCCACATTGATTGGAGGAAGCAGATAGTGCTAGCGAGGACGCTGGGATCAGAAGGGAGGGTGTCCCCATTGGGGAGGAGAATCCCAAAAGGGAAAGCCTCAAAGAAGACAATGATCTGGGTCGTTGCAAAAACACATTTAACCAGTTCTTGTGCTTTTATCGAAGCAAAATTGCTAACTTTATTATTTAAATCTCAAACATGGAGTTTCCCCTTTTGCAGCTGAAGAAGACAATAAGAAAAACATGGAAATTATAAAACCAATGACCAAACAAACATTGTGGTGTGCTCTAAATTCATGGCTTCCAAAGGATGGTAGTTTCTGCAATCATGGAAGTGACTGTGTAAGGATCCATGTTGGATGCAGGCCTTCTATCTTCAAAATAGCCTTTCCCCGATTTCTCCGTGTCTCGCCCGACTCGAATCGAAGCTCCTCGGTTTGCAACACCCTACGACAATTATGCACCAAATCAAACCAAACTATACTTTTAATTCAACCATAAATTTATGGCGATTTGTTTACCCATAAGAAAGTGTTGATGTCCGCTGTTTCGTGTCGACCAGTGAGACGCCGCTCGTTGCCTTCTCCGTATGCAGCAATGTGTTCTTTGTGCCTTAGTCCTAGCTTTTCAATAGCTTTCTTGATCACCTCGTAACCTCCCTCTTTTCTCATCGACTTTGTACTGAAAATTTTAATTTTTAAAAATTATAAAAATTATAAATCATTTTCAAAGACTAAATTTAAATTTATTACCTGTAGTTAGTATGGGCCCCAGCTCCATTCCAATCACCCTAACGTGTGAATGAATAAATAAAAATTAAGGTGAGAAATTAAAATTAAAATTTAAAAATTAATTGGAAAATTAAATTAAAATTTCTAACCGGAATTGGTTTGGGGTCAAAGGAAAGAACCACCCCCGCAATTTCCGTAATCCTCTGTTAAATCACACCCAGGTAAAAGTTTAGTAAAAGGTAAAAAGTAGGTGCCAAACTGGCGGTAATTTTGAAGTTACCTCTAAAATGTACCGCGCGACCCACAGTTCATCTGCTGCTGATATTCCCACCGATGGACCAACTTGAAATTCCCACTAAACCATTTTTAAACATTTTGATTTTAATTTTTGTAACGCGTTAAAGTTTAGAGATCAAACTCGCATATTTACTCCGACAATAATTTTTTTTTTTTTTTTTAATAAAATGAGGTATTACTTGACCGGGCATGACTTCGCCATTGATACCACTGATGTTGACACCAGCAAATAGACAGGCCTTATAGTGAGCATCAACAATGTCGCGGCCAAATGTTTTATCCGCACCAGCACTACAGTAGTATGGTCCCTGTCACCACATCATAACGTTTACCCCTTTAATCTTCTCATTAACCAACACTAATCGTCGTCAAATTTCATAATCAACATTATTAGTAGATATTGTTCGTTTTTTACCCTTCCGCATCTACTAGGGATATGTTTTCACACTTTCATAAAAAATGTTTTGACGTCGATAGAAGAATTTGGTTTGGTGTTTACCTGAGGCCCAGGAAAGCCACCAATGGGCCATCCAATAGGCCATTTGACATCCTTCTGCAACAGTGTATACTCCTGCTCAATTCCATACCTGTCGTTTTTTTAAACTAAATAAAAACACCCCAACAAGAACAAGAATTCAAAACCGGACCAGACCAAACCAAACCAAATACCATGGCTCTTCAGCTACGACATCCGGATGGCTAAAGATCTTCGCCGCCGCGTGTCTCTTGTTCGTCGGAATCGGCTCCCCTGCCGGAGTGTACGAATCACAGATCACCTAAACAACAAAACGCCTCCTTAATCTCATTACATATTTGTTCAAATTTCAAAATTTTTCAACCTCGCAACTTACAAGAATATTATTTCCTCTCCTGAACGGATCCCTGAAAATAGCTTGTGGGCTGCGAAGAAAAAACGTGTAAATTCAGTATAGAACAACGAAATAGCCATTAAATTTAAAGGAAGACAGCAAGGTTATTACTATAAGATGACTTCACTGTCTTCTCCCGGAGCTTGGCCGGTGCTGGAACCGTCGTAATTCCACTTGGGCAGCTTCGAGGGATCACTAACATACTCGGAAATCGTCTTAAACACAAAAAAGCACCAAACTTTAAGACGCAATGATAAAAACAAACAAACAAAAAAGAACTGTCTTTTTGATTGAAAAAGATGTACCCTGGCTTTGCTTCGGACGTCTTTGCCGGAGCCACCGACCCTGTTTCCATAAGGCAGAAACAAAAAATGGGTATTGGAAAAGAAGGAAAATTGAAGAGGAAGAAGGAGGAGGGGACTGACCAAATGTACTCGGCGATGACCTTGTCGGTGTAGTCGCAGAGGCTGAGGTTGATGAGGTCGGAAAGGGAAGACATTTGTGCAGTACGAGGAAGTTGGTCTGGGAATTGGGTTGGGTTTTGATTTTTTGAATACAGCTGCTTGGTGCTACGGTCGGATTTATAGGCGATGGAAGTGTATGAATTGTTGTTAATTTTTTCTTCTTTTTATTGAATTAAAGAACAATTTTGATTCGTCAATTTCAAGTTTATGTTTGATTTAATTTAAAAAGAAAAGAAACAGAGCGGTGACCGGTTATCGGAGGTGACCTTCTGAAAAAGGACATCCCTGTTGTTCAGAATCGGATTTTGATTCAGCCACTTTAATATATATATATATATAGATAATAATGGAGTCTAAATTAATATATATTAAAAAAAAACACTAGTATTTAATTTAAAAAATACATCGCTCCCCTCTAATAAAATACATCATTTGTTCAATATTTAAGGATTCTATTGTCACGACTGACGGTCGTGGCTAAGTTTGAAGGGCATGTCTTTGATAACATGTTAGAAATAACTTCCAACCATCATGAATAGTACTACTTCAGACTGGTATGATATTGTCAACTTTGAGCATAAATTCTAGTAGCTTTCCTTTGGGCTTCCCAAAAGGCCTCATTCCAATGGAGCTAGTCGCTTATAAACGCATGATCTTCCATTAAATCAAACCATGCGTGACTCACTTCGAAAAATCCTCAACAATCCTCCCCTCAAACAAAGTACATTATAAGTCTCCCCTTAATCGGGGCTCGACTCCTTTCTTTGAAGCCCTCGAACAAAGTACACCATTTGTTCGACACTTTAGTCACTTTTGACTACACCTTTGAGACTCACAATCTTTGTTCGATATTTGAGTATTCTATTGTCATGGCTGAGTTTAGGGTTTACAGCATGACTCTGATTGACTCTCCAAAATGGCATGATATTGTCCACTTTGAGCATAAACTATGGTTGAACTTTTATGGGTATTATAAGAATATGTTTGGACTAGTTAAAAAATTATTAATGGTATTTTTTAAAAATTATTTAAAAAATTAAAAATGATATTTTTAAAATAAATTATTAAGAAGTATATTTTGAATTTTTTTTAATATATTTTTAGAATATTATTAAAAATTTTAAAATTTGGAAGAATATTTGCGAGGAAGTATAAGGTTTTAGAGTTTATTTATTTATTTATTTATTAATTTTGCGAAAATAGAAATAATATTTTAATGCAAATTTAGTCCGTACTATGTCGGGTCATTATAAGATTAACTTATTAAAAATTGACCAATTTTAATGAATACGTTCCCAATAAATTCAACATTTTATTAAAAAAAACACAAATGGAATATCATAATTTTGGAATGGGAAGTACAAAATTGTCGTTTTCCCACCATTCAAGTTAAAATTTTATTTGTGTACTTGCACAAAAAGTTAAAATATATACATATATTCAACTATGTAATCCATACAATATTTCAATAAGAAATTACAAAATTAATCAATAACAAAATAACAATAGTGACTATTTAATTAAAAACATAGAAACTTAGGATAGTATATATGAATCATAGATAATTCAATAATCGGAAAAAATAAAATAAAATAAATAAATTTCTTAAGAATATAAGAATTTGATTTATTTGATTGGGCATAAAAAAGAGTAACATGAACACGTGGGAGTGAATAATTAATAATGGGGAAAAATAAAAAGAAATAAAAATGTGGGTCAATAATTTAACGAAAGACAAGATCAAGACGGCAAGATAATAAAAATAAAATAGAAAAAGAAACACCTAATTTACTATTTTTATTTCCACACACTCACACGTGCCTCCTCTAATTTTTTATTTTTTTTTAATAATAATATAAAATACCAAGCCTCCAAATATTTCTATAAATTTTATTTTATTAATACAAAAAAAATTAGAAAAATTAGGAGTGTATATAAGTCTGTAATTATATTAAGAATAATTGTTATTAAAATCTATATGTTAAAATAATTTTAAAATATTAAGATAGCATAGTATGATTCGGTTGTCGACAAAACTAAGTGGGCAACGACTTTGTGACTCATAATGGGCCCCACTCATCTAAATTACCAGATCTCATATTGTAATTAAATATTATTTATTTATTTATTTTTTGTTTAATTTTATAAATATAAAATTTTAATAATCACGACTCTCCATAATAGTATGATATTGTTCACTTTGAGTATAAGCTCTCATGGCTTTGCTATGGGTTTATTCAAAACACCTCGTACCAATAGAGAAAATATTACCCTAAATTAGCTTGAATAAAAAGGAGTGGTTGTGGAAGGAATATTTGAAGTTCCTAAATTCTAAGCTATCAAATGTTGAGCAGTGAAGCGTTATCTTTGTCGATCTTTTCTACTTGCTAGTGATTCAAAGAATAATTTTAAAATTTATTATCTCTGCTACAAAAAAAGTGTCATAAAAATGGTATTTATTTTCAATCAATGGCTCAAAATTTACCATTCAATGAATATAATTCCCAAAATTTTGTTTAAATGCCTGCACCACTCTTCTTGCCACTGCGAATGCTTCCATGGAATAATATAAAGGTTCCAATAATAACTTGATACTGTTATTTCTATATAGATGTAAATCTATGAAGGATAATAATTTGTTTTCGTGGCCTAAATGAGACGTATTTGATTTAGTTACACATTGGTTGGTGAGCATGAGAATAAAAAAAAAAAGTTAAGATTAATATGATTCGGTGATATTACACGTTGGTTAGAGAGGGGACCAAAACATTCTTTAAGAGGGTGTGGAAATCTCTCTTTAACGTACACGTTTTAAAATTGTGAGGCTCATGATGATATATAACAGGTTAAAACATACGATATCTTCTATTTATAGCAATCAACACTAATATCCGAACGAATTGATTCTCCAAAAACAAAAAGATGTTGTTCGAGAAACACTCGGTGTGAGGCATGAGTAAGAGGCGAAAAAAGTGAAAGGTTTGAAGAGTTAAAGAGAGTAGAATTCACTTTGGGATATATTCTTTGTTAGGCCATGTTCTTGCAATTATGAATTGTTTGTGTGTTGGATAACAGGGACCATGGCTTTACTTTGGATTGGGGAATATATAGATATATATGCCATATTTATGTGTTAAATCATAAAATGCCCATATGTGGTGGGCTCAGTGGAAGAAGCGTACGAACAGATATCAAATATTTGTGTATTGTATTGTGTTTTGGACACAAGCTCTCGTAAACTTTGTGTTAGAATCGCACAACAACGCACACACTCGATGTAGATGAACACAAAGAACATAATAGAGAAAATGGAAGGAGAATATTGCCTAAAGATTTTTTATTGATGACTACAGATATGTACAGTAACAGAGAATACAGATAGTACATTTTCAAAGCTCTACGTGAGCCTTTACCAATATAACTATTGACTAGGCGGAATTTTAAATAGATAATTAATCCCTACAAAATTAAACCAAATAATCTCGATTAAAGTTGTAAAATCGAATAAAAAAACGAATTAATCCCTAAAATTAGGGTATTAAAAAATTCAGATCTACGGAGGAAAAAATCCATATGGTAGTCCAAATATGGGCCTGCAAACAAGCCCAATAATGAACCCGAGATTGACACCACAAACCGAAACCTATTGGCCCATAATACGAAGGCCCAATAAGATTGCGGCGCATAAAGTTGTCAGCTCCACTCTCCCGCTCGAATTCAAAAAATGTCGGAATCTGAATCGGGAATTCTCAGCAGCGCCATTTTCACTGGGGAGGGCGAGGGGAGATCAATGGGAGTTTCTAAGAGAGAATCGCCTATGGCGGAGGAAACGGTAGAATCGCAACATCTATTGCCTCAGAAAATAGCCAAAATACTCGACGAAGCACGGTCATCAAACGCCACGCACAATCGCAAGCTCAAGGAGCTATGCGCTCTGCGTTCGAAATCCAAGTCTCCTTTCGAGTTCTTTACTGCGTTTTCCAAAACCCTGACTCCTCTCTTCAGTTTTCATCGCAGAGTTACCTCTGCCGAGCGCGTTATCCGCTTCATTTCCCTTTTCGCCACTGCAAGAGATCCCAATTTCGCTTCGCATGCTGATGAGTTCTTGGAGGAATTTCTTAAGTTTCTTCTCGTTGCATCATGCGCTGCAAATAAGTCTGCCAGGTTCCGTGCGTGCCAGATTGTTTCTGAGGTGAGATCCTTAATTGCGTTATGCTTTTCTTGTTTGGAATCGGAACAGTGATTGTGGGATTATGTTTTTGTCTTCCTTCCTTTTCTTATTATTCCTTTCTATCTAATAGCTTTCTATAGCTCAAGGCAATATTTAAACGACTGGCTAGATTTGGTCTCTGAATCCGCGAACTGTAATTGAAAAGGCCAATTCGAGGTTTTCTAGTGTTTTTGGGTAGTTTTGTTACTGCTATAGCAAATTTGCAAACCGAAACTTAATTTTCAGGTTTCTAGTGTTCCACTTTTTCGAAGTTTCTCCAGTAAAGAACTGCATACTCGCGGTATCCGATGTGAACTTGCAACTTTCTTAAAATTTTGAGTGTCTGATGCTCTTGTTCATGAATGTTTTAGGATTTCTTTACTGATTATCTGTTCACAACACTCTTAGTTGACCGCTGGTAGGCAGTAGTTCTGTTTCATCATGGCTAATTTTTCTCCAAACTGTATTGTTGATTGAGATTATGCATTTGCAGATCATCATGCGGCTACCAGATGATGCAGAAGTCAGCAATGAAGTCTGGGACGACGTTATAGACCACATGAAGGTGCGAGTGCTGGACAAGGTTCCTTCAATCCGCATGTTTGCAGTTCGTGCTCTTTCACGTTTTGCGAATGATAGTGAAAATGGTGACATCCTCAATTTATTTCTTGAGGTGATTCCTCTGGAACAAAATGCGGTGAGTATTTTAACTGACTTAAACATCTTTTTGGATGTTTTGTGAACTTGGTTGCTTTAACAGTGTCAAGCAGGTTACTCATTTGCCTTCTTTCCTTTATAACTCAGGATATATCAAGTTGCTTGCACTTTGCATATTCATAATCCATTCATGCCTTTTAATGAAACATTCATTCTTGTTTCACATTTACCAAATGCTTATGATCATATTTAGAAGAGGGCCTTCAATGCCAGTGATTCA